TCTCATTAGAGATATCTTTGCAGGATAGCTGATAACAACAAAAAACACAACAAAATAAAGTCATATTGCACATAATCCATTTGCGTGCAACATGTTTCCAAAAGGATCTAAATAATCCCCGGTTCACAGCCAGCAAAGCTTGGCACCATCACAAAAGTGTGTAAGGGACAATCTCACCAGTCAAGGTGCATGTGGGAAAACCAGCAGAGTTCTTTTCAATGCATGGTCGGCAGTAAAATATTGGTTGCCCTGAGATTAATGGATTCCATTGTTTAGAGCTTGGTGCAGTACGAAAGCCGGATTCTCAGCTCCACAGGCTGCACATTAGGGCTTGGTATTCTTCAAAGGCCCTAGGGAGATACAAGGCTTTACAATATAAAGCTATACAGAGTAATGTGATCAAACTATATCAAAGGATTCGTTTGTGGAGCATTCCTCTTTGGCCCCTCATGGCTTTGAATGACACAAATGGATTATGTACTATATTTTTTCTTGCTGTAATTTAAGCTTCATGGACTGAGTGATCTGAATGATCAACTCCAATATTGAGCCAGAAAAAAATAAAATATATAATCACTGCGTTCAAACTCCCATGACTCTTGGGCAACAGCAATGGCTATAGTATCCATTATCCCCCCAAAAATAGAACAAAATTACCTGCACACTATCCCAAATCTCTATAAACATGTAAATAACTGTTTTAGTATCACTCCAATGGTCATTAAAGTGTAAGCTCACCTGCCATGTGAAGGCACGCCTCTTAGATGAGTCCTACACTGACAATTCACCGTGCTGTTTTCAACTAAAAGGATAAATCTCTAATGAGAATGTCTGTCTCTTATGGGTCTGATGGTTATTAGGGGGTCTAATGATAGGCTGAACGCGTCAGCTGACTCTTCGTAATGGAAACATCAGACTGGAATGTAAGAGATGGGGCAGATCTGACAGGTACAGGACTGAAGACTTTGGGTGTAAGCCCTTTGAGGTAAGCCGTCACCCAGGAATTCTTGCATCATAATAACGTCATTCCAATGAGGTTGTTATGCTGCCACAAGAGTTCCTTTAAATAAAACTTACACGTGAAAAATTTAGGGAAATTATTATATATCCCATATGAAATATCCTAGGTTCTTCAGTTTTGAAAAATTTATATTTTATTAGGGTTTTTATTTTAATTAGCAGACTGTTAAACCGCCCCTTATAAGGCAAACACCAGTAAAGCTCCTTCCAAGTTAACTTCGAAAGGCAGAGCAACACTATATGGACAAAAGTATTGGACACACCTCTTAAATATTGTATTCAGGTGTTTCAATCAGACCCATTACTACAGGTGTATAAAACCTAGCCATGCAGACTGCATTTATAAACATTTGTGAAAAAAATGGGTCGTTCCAAAGAGT